AAACCAACATGGCTTAGTAGAGAAGTAAAACAAGAGATTACAACTAAGAGAAGGGCATTTAAAGCATTTAAATCGGACAAAATCAGATGCATCTTATAAAAGATATAAGGATGCAAATAATGCGTGCAAAAAGGCAATTAGACTTGCTAAACTTCAAAATGAAATAATGATAGCTGAAGAGAGCAAAACCAACCCCAAAGCATTTTTTAAGTACATAAATTCTAAAAAAAAAACAAAATGAAAGTGTAGGTACACTAAAAACTGAAATGGGGGTGTTAATTAATGAAGACCAGGAAAAGGCAGGAATTTTAAATAACTATTTCTCCTCCGTATATATATTAAGGAAGAACCCATGGCAATAGATGTGCAAATGATTGCTACTAAAAACTTGCAGAATAATTGTAATTGGTTAACTCAAGACAAGGTGCTGCAGCAACTAAAGAAAGTTAATATAAACAAAGCTCCAGGACCTGACGGTATCCATCCACATGTACTTAAGGAACTAAGTGCAGAAATAAGTGAACCTCTGTTTTAATCTTTCAAGATTCTTTTCTTTCAGGAAGTGTTCCGGAGGATTGGAGGAAGGCAGATGTGGTTCCTATATTCAAAAAGGTTCAAAATCCTTGCCTGGAAATTATAGACCTGTGAGCTTAACTTCTGTGGCTGGTAAAATATTTGAAAGGTTATTAAGGGATAATATTCAAGAATTCCTTGAGAAGAACATGGTTATCAGCAAAAATCAGCATGGTTTTATGAAGCACGGGTCATGTCAAACTAACTTGATTGCGTTCTACGAAGAAGTAAGTAGAAGTATAGATCAGGGTGTTGCCGTGGATGTGATCTTTTTGGATTTTGCCAAGGCATTTGATACAGTTCCACACAATAGATTAGTGTTCAAACTCAAAGAAATCGGTCTAGATGAAAATGCTTGTTCTTGGGTAGAACATTGGCTTAAAACAGAGTACAAAGAGTTGTCATTAATGGTAAATTTTCAAGCTGGACAGAGGTGGCAAGTGGTGTCCCTCAGGGGTCTGTTCTGGGACCCCTTCTATTTAACATGTTTATAAGTGATCTTGAAGACCGCATTGAAAGTCATGTTTCAGTGTTTGCAGATGACACCAAACTTTGTAAAACAATACAATGTGAGCAAGATATTACTTTGCTGCAGAGGGACTTAGATAGACTGGGGGACTGGGCACTCAAATGGCAGATGAAATTTAATGTTGAAAAATGCAAAGTTATGCACTTCGGAGTAAAGAATACACAAGCAACGTATACCCTTAATGGAAGCGAATTAGGGATAACAACACATGAAAAGGACTTGGGAATTGTTATAGACAACAAACTATGCAACAATGTGCAATGTCAATCAGCAGTGGCCAAGGCCAGTAAGGTATTGTCATGCATGAAAAAGGGCATTCATTCTCGGGACAAGAATATAATTTTGCCTCTTTATAAATCACTGGTAAGACCCCATATTGAATATGCTGTGCAATTTTGGGCACCTGTTCTAAAGAAGGATATTATGGCACTAGAAAAAGTGCAGAGGCGGCTACAAAATTAATAAAAGGAATGGAACATATCGGCTATGAAGAAAGGTTAACAAATTTAAACCTATTTAGTTTAGAAAAACGTCGCCTGAGAGGGGATATGATAACATTATACAAATATATTCGGGGCCAATACAAACCATTGTGTGGAAATCTATTCACAAACCGGACTTTACATAGGACACGAGGCCATGCGTTTAGACTGGAAGAAAGAAGATTTCGCCTAAGGCAAAGGAAAGGTTTTTTTACTGTAAGAACAATCAGGATGTGGAATTCTCTGCCTGAGGAAGTGGTTTTATCAGAGTCCATACAGATGTTCAAACGGCTACTAGATGCATACTTGCAAGAACAGAATATTCAAGGATATAATCTTTCAATGTAGGGTAATAACTGCTTGATCCAAGGATAAATCTGACTGCCATTCTGGGGTCAAGAAGGAATTTTTTTCCTAGCTTGTTGCAAAATTGTGCTTCAAACTGGGTTTTTTTGCCTTCTTTTGGATCAACAGCAAAAAACAAATGTGAGGAAGGCTGAACTTGATGGACGCAAGTCTCTTTTCATCTATGTAACTAACTATGTAACAACCCACTCATGTGGGGGAGAACCCTTGGCTTGTCAGTTCGGACTGAAAAGTAGAGTATAGGCACCGCAGCGGGCCGTACTCTGGATTTCCTGTATACTAGACAGGCATTGTCACCAGGAGAGCCGTAGCGCCCCATCGGGGTCTAAGTCTGGGTAAGAGGCTACTTTGTTCGGGAGCCCGGCTGGGTATACCACTCCAAGTATCTTGCGGGCTTCTCAAGTCAGCGATCTACGGTCCCAGCAACGCACCGATGGTGCTAGGTGCCTGGGCCGAGACCCTTCCGAAGAAATGAGCAATTGGTTGAGGGTCGCACAGGGGTTCGTTTAAGGCGACCCACAAGACGACATCTTCTTCCACAGTCGTCGGAGCCCCTTTAGTGGGCTTGTTCTCCGTCCGGCGGTGCCATTTGGGGGCATCATCATAGTCCACCCCCCATCGTCCTCTCCTTCCGAGAGGGACCGGTCCGCCCGCCATTCAGCTAGGGCGGTCGTGGTGGGGTCATGAGGACTATCACCTCTGCGCCATCTAGGCAGTGTAATCTGGCCACTGAGGCCGATCGTATTGGGCTTAGACGCTTCTCCGGAGTCTAATCTGTCCGGGCACCTGGTTTGGGGCCTTCACCCCTCCAGTAGCGCTTGTGCGCACTTGCCTGCTCTCCTCTAGGAGAGTCTGACTCATTCAAGTTGTCTGTCTTTATTAAAAAGGTGGTCCCTGCCACGTCTGAAGGACACTGCCTCCCTCACGCCATATAGGCAGTGCTGTCCAGCCCGATTGCATCGGGGTTAGACGCTTCTCCGGAGTCTATCTTCCGGGAGTCTGGTTTAGGGCCTTCACCCTTCCAGTAGCGCTTATGCGCGCTTGCCTGCCCTCCTCAGGGGGGTCTGACTCCCTCAAGTCTCCCGCCTGCTTTAGAAGGTGGTTGCTGTCTTAGTAGGCATCGCCTGTGTGCATTCCCCCGAATGAAGGGTTGACCGTGGAGCGGTCCTAGGCAAGTTGACAAGTGTCACCGGAAGCAGCATCAGGGCAGCACCCCATCTAGTGACAGAGGCAAATCTGGAGGTGCATGTAATGTCCAAGCATGAGTATGTAGTCGCAAGGCTTGGCATGCAGATATTCTGGCACCGACAAAGCAGACCAATCAATACGGCTCGAACAAAGCCGGCCAAATCCTGGGGCACAGACAAGTCAGGCCCTACGGGGGTGCACAGGTGATAAACTGCCCTTCCATTCTTCTGATTAATTGTACAATTCACTCTTCGGAGAAGATGTACCTAACACTTCTTCAGATTACTGGCACATAACACTCTCCTGTGTAACTGTAGTTAACACTTTTCTGTGTAACTGTACATAACATTTTTCTGTGTAAATGCACGTAACATTCTTTTGTGTAACCGTACATAACGCACTTCCATGTAGCTTAACAGAACATGCTTCTGTGTAACTGTACATAACATTCTTGTACAATTGTACATAGCATTCTTCTGTGTGACCGTACATAGCATTCTTCTGTGTAACTGTTGCAATTTGAGGGGCCTGCCTGCCAACCCTGAAAGTCCAGAGAATTTAATTTGTTAGCACTCTATTTTACCCTGTAACTTTCTGTGACACCCTAAAACCTGTACATGGGGGGTACCATTTTACTAGGGAGACTTCGCTGAACACAAATATTAGTGATTCAAAACAGTAAAACATATCACAGTGATGATATTGTCAGTGAAAGTGACTTTTTTTCGCATTTTTCACACACAAACAGAACTTTTACTGATGATATAATTGTTGTTATACATTTTCCTGTTTTGAAACACTAATATTTGTGTTCAGCAAAGTCTCCCGAGTATAACAGTATCCCCCATGTACAGATTTTATAGCGTTTTTGAAAGTTACAGGGTCAAATATATGGGTCAAATATTTTTACATTGAAAATGGCCAGGTTGGTTATGTTGCCTTTGAGAGCGTATGGTAGCCCAGGAATGAGAATTACCCCCATGATGGCATACCATTTGCAAAAGAAGACAAGCCAAGGTATTGCAAATGGGGTATGTCCAATCATTTTTAGATAAATTTAAAAAAAATTATGTTTTGAAACCGCAATATCCTAATTGTACCTATAGCCCTATAACTTGCACATAAACAGTGGGTATTTTAAAACTCAGGACAACATTTTGAATCTATTTAGCAGTTTTTTTATTCACTTTTGTAGATGAGTAATAGATTTTTCAAGTAAAAGTAAAAAAAAAATATTTTAAAAAATTTTCATCATTTTTTTTATTTTTTTTAAATTAAATTACATGAAATTATATAAATAATGGTATGTAAAGAAAGCCTTTTTTGTCCTGAAAAAAACAATATATAATTTGTATGAGAGAGCGGAAAATTACAGCTAAACACAAACACCACAAAAGTGTAAAAAGAGGCCTGGTCGCAAATGTACAACATCGCAAAAACAGTCCAGTCCTTAAGGGGTTAAATAATTGTATCTCAATCTCTAAATTAAACTTTAATCACATACCTCTTGCAGGGTCTAGCAAGCTATTAACATAGCAGGGGATAAGAACATCTTAATTAAACTTGCAATAAAGAAAGCCTAAATAGAGCTCTCTTTACAGGAAGTGTTGTGCAAGTCACATTCAGGGAGGTGTGACTAGGGTTCATAAACGGGGATTTAGCTCCTAAATGGCAGAGGATCGAGCAGTGAGGCTGCATGGGCATGTTCTATACACCAAAACTGCTTCATTAAGTTAAAGTTATTCAGGTGACTATAGTGTCCCTTTAATTCAGACCATTAGAGCACAGTATATGCCAATCTTATTAAGATTAAGCTGTGACACTATGGGTACTATATCTATAAAATGGTTCTGGAGAAAAAGGTTTAAACATGAAGTAGTCACCATTCAAACTTGTTGGTTGCTACACTTTTAGAACTTTGCCTCAAAGTAACGATAGTACAAAAAAAGCTAAAAATATTTCTGCAACTTTTACAATGCGTCAAACTGCTCTTTTTATCATTACAAAATGTTATTTTTTTATTTTATTTTTTTTTACACTTTGCTGATACAAGGGAGTGAAACACCTGCTTTGTTCCAATAGGGGGGAGAGATGTTGTTTTACAAGAATAGATAAGGTGATAGAATACATATAGCAGATAAGGCATACAATGTTAAGGAATTCTCATTTCTCAATGCATATTTTGGTGTTCCATTAAGTTGCTCCAATGAGATGCAAACTTATCAAACTGATTAAACTCTCACAATTTGCATTTTTAGTTTTTCTTTAATCCAATGGGGTTAATAAAACTATACTGGAAATTGCTTGACAATTATAGAGAGGGCAGGGGGAGGGGGTTAATAATTTTAAAAAAAAGAAAACCGCCAACTTGGGAAATGTTTCACCAATTTGTTAGCTATGCTACTTTGCCCACTGTATGGAACACACTAGTCAGTTCTTCAAAGTTTAATTTAGTGCATTGACCTCACAATTATGAATGGTCTCTTCATTGTCTCCATGCTTCTTACCACTCAAACAACTGGCTTCAAAAAGCAATGCAAAACTGATTGTATGAATTACTGTTATCTTATTTAATCCCATTTCAAAAGCCAACATAATGGAAAAAATAAAAATACAAAACATATGGCTGAAATAACATAAAACATGTTCTAGCTAAAGCAAAATATGTTTATATACTGTTCTAAACCTTACAGGCGCTTAATAGATTATAAAATAGACATTTTGCTATAAAAACCCTCCTTACACATGTATGAGGTAACATTCAATTGGATGGAACATTGAGTGGGTTTGTCCCAAAACACAGGAAGAATAGTGTGAGCAATTACTTTTATTCCCAACCCACAGTGCTGGCAGGTGGGGGTTAACAAGTTAACAATCTGCCTATTTACTAGCCCAGTATACATGGCCTTTTGATTTTGACCGATATACTTGTTTTCTGGTTTCTGCTTCATTACTACATAGCAGTGCCAGTATTTCTTAATAGTCAGCAAGCAGCGTTATTACTGACAGTTGATTCTACCTTATAGCACAGTTCAAAGTGTCATAATTGGGTAATGGGAACTGTTTCCCTTCCCAGATACTTTGTAATATTATCGGGCTATCTTTTTATATTGACTCTGTCAGCAACACTGTTATCTAATGCCTGGATTTTGTGTCACATCTTACATAACAGTTTTTGCCTGTCAACTTATAGCTTTAGTTTACAACACAATAACAAGTGCCTGTCTTGGGGAACTATATTGACGTTTTCCCTCCTGGACATTTTTGTCACTTTATTGTACAGCTGTATATTAACATAACCCCACTGTACCATAATGAAAACTCTACTTTGGCACAGTCTGTACCTACTCTGTACTACTGTTCAGGGTCTATAGATACCTGTCAGTGCTTCACCACTATAGGTTTTTGGAGCAGGGATTGCTCAGATCTACTCGATTGCTTATATACAATATATTATATTCTGTGCTTGATGCATTGTCAGTTCCAATAAGACATTTACTTATATGTCATATGACCTTCTCTGTAGGTGCATATTGATCCATACTCGTATTGTACCTTTTAATTAGTTATTATTTGGATCGTTGCTAGTAAGCTCCGTTAAGATCCTCCTTTTTAACCACGAATACACTTAACACGATTTTTTCACTGTTTTTTTACATTTGTCTTTTAATGTCGGATGACGAAATAAAGGTTTTCCGTTTTTTCTTCCTTTAGCTATTTGCCCATTCATTTGAGCTGATTACTGTACTTGGGTAACATCTACGACTATGCGTTGAAATTAGGCACCTGTAGTTTCTCTGGTGCTTTTTTTCTATCTCACAGCTACGCTATTTGTCTCTCTTTTTCTGTTTTGACCTCTAAATGTGACTAAATCAACACAAAAATAGAAAGATTACATTTGACTACATACTAGGGACCAGTACGTAAGTAAAAATAGGAAATTACAAACACTGGTATCAAACTGAAGAGAGAAAAACGTTTATAGTCAAATTCATATTTGTATTTTAGCTTTATATATCTAAATATAACAATTCAAGATTTTCCTAGTCTTAACGTCAGAAAATATAGATTTTATTAAAGACAGGAAACGGGTATTATGTATTAACTTTCTTTACTAAACTCCAGCAGCAAAGAATATTTCAATAAAGTTTAGTGAAACAATATAAGAAAAAAACAAAACCAGTCAAGTAACTGCAATGGAATATCCAATAGCCAATCAGCATCCGGCGTAGTCTATATATAGGGAATGACCCCCAATCCTCTTCCTCTTTCGAGCTACGACTTTAGAGAAGTAATCCAATCGAATAAATTCCTAGAACAGGTAAATACTGGAAAAAACTCCCAACTGGTTCAAGCTGAAATACAAATAAGAGGATGGGTTAATGGGAGGAATAATACTCGCCTCCTGTCTTTAATAAAATCCATGTTTTCTGAGGTTAAGACTAGGAAAATCTTAAATTTTATAACAAGACAGAAGGCTCATATTATGCATGTTAAAAGCTAAATAATAATAACATATAATATATTCTAAATAAATTACAGAATTATTTTTGAAACATGCATGTTAGGTCTCAAGTAAAAGACCAATATGCAGCTTTTACTAAATCTGATAAAGAGCTTCCTGCTTTGAAAACTTTAGTAGACAGAAGGAGTGAGCTACAAAAATAGAAATATCAGTACCTGCCATAGACATAGTTTGTCTTACCCATCTGGCTAAAGATGTAGAAGTGACAGGAAGAAAAGGTTTTCAAAAAGAGAATAGCAATTGAGATAAATTAGAATGTCTCATGGAAAAGGTTTTAAACTCATACGTTTGAAGACAGTTAACCACACATAAAAAAGGGTGATCGGAAAAAGAAGGATAGAAAACGGAGTGTAGGTTAGTTTTAATACTTTAATACCATTTGGGGTGTATTGTCTATTATTGAGGTCCAAAGCCTTAACATCAGAAACTCTTTTAAAAGAAATGAGACAAAGTAAAATGGTAAGTTTAAATTATAGGAATTTTAAAGATAATGAGTCATTATCACCACAAGATTCTAATAACAGGAGAACCAGGTTAACATCCCATATAGAATCATATCTAGGGCAAGGAGGGCTCTTGAATCTAATGCCCTTCATTAGTCTACAGACTAAAGGCTGTGTTCCCACTAGAAAGGATTCAATCAGATTATGGTTCGCTGATAAAGCTGAACGATACACATTAATGGTTCGTTATGGTTTCCCTAAATCAAAAGCGGAAGAAAAAAAAAAAATTAAGTACATTTGCTAAATCAGAATGTATGGGATCCACAGCCCGTTCCATGAACCAATTAAGCCAAATTTTCCAGGCTGATCCGTAACTTGCACGGGTGCCTGGTGCCCATGCTTCTGAGAGAATGCTTCTAGTTGAATCTGAAAGTTCTTTATTAGAGTCGTGTGATATAAGTGATGCTAATAGTGGTAATTGGTCTCTCACCACAAGTGGATGGAGGTTCCCCTCCGGATTGCGAAGAGAATCCCGACGCATTCGTATGAGTCTTGGATAATCTATCAGCATGCTGAGAAGTTGAGGGAACCACGGTTGTGATGGCCAATGAGGAGTCACTAACACTAGGGTTGATCTCTGAGACCATACTTTCAACAGAACCCGAGATATCATCGCAAACAGAGGGAATGCATAGTTGACTCCGTTGTTCCAGCATTGAAGAAACGCATCTTGATCTAATGCTTTTGGGTCTGGACACCAGCTGCAATCTTTTTCGAACTGGCAATTGAGATGTGACACAAAAAGGTCGTATTGCAATGGGCCCCATAGGGAACAGCATCCAGTCACTGTAATCCACTAGGAAATGGGAATTCCAATCTGCAATCATATTGGACAGGCCTGGGAGATATTCTAATTGCAAAACTATGTTGCGATCAAGGCAAAAATGCCAAAATTCTTTGGCAGTGTCTGCTAGATTTTTGGATTTCGTGCCTCCTAATCGATTCCCATATAGAACTGCTGAAATATTGTCCATCTTGAGAAGGACGCAACAATTAGATTTTTCTTTTGCAAATCTGCTTAAGGCAAAGAATCCTGCCATGAGTTCCATATTATTTATATGCATGTGTGTTTCTGTCAGAGACCATATGCCCCCGGTGGAATTTCCTCCACAATGGGCACCCCAACCCATCTGACTCGCATTGGATTCTATTATTAGATCGGGAAGCGATGTGAAAATTTCCTGTTCCATGTCTAAACATGATCTAGCCACCAGAACAGTTCTGTTCTTGTATGTGGTGTCAAGGTGATTTCGTCTGAATAACACAAGCCATTGCGTAAATGTTCTCTTTTTAGCCTTTTAACCCCTTAAGTACCAAACTTCTGGAATAAAAGGGAATCATGACATGTCACACATGTCATGTGTCCTTAAGGGGTTAAAGGCTCTGTAATGTAGAGGGCCCAGAAATATCACTTGAATGGAAGCCGATAATAGGCCTACAAGCCGTTCTAGAGATCTGATGGAAATTAATTCCTTGTTCAAAATTGATCTGATCTCTTTCCGTATTGTCTTTAATTTACTTGATGGAAGACTCAGAGTAGCCAATTTGGAGTTGACTAGAAACCCCACTTTTCATAGTTTATTACAAAATCGAGGCTGGTTAATAGATTCAGTGTCCATTGAGAATGTATCTGAAGAGTATGTAAACTCTGTGACATGATTAAAATATCGTCTAAGTATATTATCATTCTCACGTCTCTGCTCCGAAGAAGGGATACTATTAGTTTGAGTAATTTGGTGAAACATCAAGGTGAAGAGGATAAACCAAAAGGCAATGATTTGAATTGCCATTTCTTCCCTTCCCATATGAATTGTAAGTAACTCTGACAAGAGTGGTGAATAGGTACTGTGAGGTACGCATCTTTCAAGTATATTTTTATCAACCAGTCCTTGAGTATTAACAAATCTTTGAGATAATAAATGCCTTCCATCTTGAAGTGATGATATCTAACAAAATTGTTTAGTTGTTTTAAATTTATGACTGGTCTGTGACCAGCATCTTTCTTTTTTACCAGCACTAAATTTCTGATGAAACCTGGACTGTTCATGGGAACTTGGATAATGGCATTTTTTGAAAATAAATTTAATATTTCTTGATGTATCAGAGTCTGATCTTGACTTGAAAAATTTATTGGGAAAGGTACCTGTTTTTGAATGAAATTTGATATGAAATCTATTTTGTATCCCAGAACTGTACTTAAGATCCAGGCATCGTTTGTAATCTGATTCCTGACATGAAAATAGTGAGAAAGTCTGCCTCCCAATTTCTCTGGTGAAGAAAGGGGAATTGTCATACTCACCAGACGATGAACTGAAGCGAGACATTTCTCGATGTCCTCTGGATCTTCGTGGTCTGCCATGAAGTGGGAAAAATTGAGATGTCTGTTGTGTGTTAAATGAGGATCTGTTTGCTTCTTGGAACCTGTCTGTTTTGAGGGAAGCGGCTGAAAGAGCGGTTCTGTCCTCTTCCAGCCCATTTGAAAACCTTTGGGCTGAAAATTCTCTTCAGTGAAGTTTGAGCTTTGTCTAAGGAACTAAATAGGTTTACATATTTATTAATGTCCTTAATAAATGAGTCTCCAAACAGGAATACGTCTGGTCCTGGTTCTTTAGTGGCTAGGTTAGCTAATTGTAGGTCAAACTTGTGGGTATTGACCTTTGTCTTTCTGTGGTTAGAGTTGTATTAGTGTTACCTAAAAAACATACAATGTGTTGTGTTCATCCTCTAGGTCAATACTGGGGGAACTCCCCGAAGCAGAAGCTTGTTCTAGGACTTCAAATATCTTAGCCACAGGACCAGAAATATCCATTAGCTTGTCCTGACGGGATTTAGTTTTAATCCTTTGTTAGGATTCTTCCCTGATTTTGTTAGAAACTGTATTAAAGTAGGATCTAAGTCAGGGGTCTGTGCGACTTTTTTTTTTAGCTAAAGTCGGTCTAGGGCATTTATCCTGCAGCTTATTCCTAGCTGCCTGGTCAAAGAACCCATTCGGCTGAATGGGGATGTTTTAGATTATCTGGATTAAATAAAGGTTTTCCTGCAATATCCGTATTAACGTTATCATCATCAGATTTTAATACATGTTCAGGTACCTCAGAGTATGCAGAATAATCAGAATCAGCATCAGATTCTTCATCTTTAGAAGATGAGGATGAATTATCAGAGGAGGTTTATAACAGTCAGGTTTGCTCCTGTGAATGGCCTTCCGGGCTCGTTTGTTTTCCTCACGAGCAGAGGGTCTTTTGAGTAAGTTACTCTCATCAAATTTGCGTAGTATACGCATTTCATTATGGTCTTGGTCCTTCCCTTTGTTAGATGATTTTGAGCAAGAAGGGGAATCATAAGGACCATCAAAACAATGCTTATGCTTCTGGGTGTCATTCCCAGACCTCCTGAAACCTTGCGCCAAATTTCCTTCAGACTCTACATATGACCAAAATTGGTCAGAGGGAGTATTAATTACCTCAGTCTGTTGTGCAGGTTTGGTAGATTGGCAGATAGCATGAGCCACAGATTTTGCAATTGCCTCTTGCATAGAGGGCATAGCTAAAAATATTGCAGATGGTACTCATTTGTTGACAGATAAATCAAAAATATTCTGTAGCGAGTCCGCGGTTAGGATTTCACATTCAGCATTAGCACCAGTAATTAGTGACTGTGAAAGAGTTTTCTTAGACTCTTTAGAATTCATATTAATAATCAGATTCTAGCAGTCTGAAATAAAATAATTCTAATAGTCTGCAATAAAGTAAATATTGCTTGATATAGAGCAATAAAATTACAATAGTATAAGTATTAATTAATATATTAATTGGTAAAAAAACAAACAAACCTTAACTGGATACAAATTGTGTCAATGTAATCTTTCCTAGAGAAGAAACAATGTCAGCCGAAGGAATCTGCTGAGGTAAAGTAGGCAGTAAAGGAGCATGAAAGAGCTAGCTGACAAACAACTAGCTGTGAAAAAAGTCGGGGAAATGACGTCAGATTAAATCTGAGGTAAATTGAATGTATGAAACAACAAAATGGTTAAACCCGTTCGCGTTGCGAATGAGAGGAAAAAAACCTGAATTGAAACGAACTGAATAGCTTTGAATCGCAAAAGGGTTGTTCGCGAAAAGTAATAGAAGCATGAATATCGTTCGTTTACAAACGCACGAAAGATACACAAAATGACCAAACTGTTTGCAAACGAAAATATTAAGAGTATGATAGTAATATTGCGAATTAACTTTGGCCAGTAGCAATAACTGAAAAATATATATACCACAGAAAATTAGAAAAGATAATTATAAAAATATCCGAAAATAAATATTTGTGTTTACAATAATGGAATAAATAAAACCAATACATATTATAATCTAAATATGTCAAAACTAAAGTTTAAAATAGAATATATAATAACTGAAATGCATGTATATATGTTACTTATCTCCACTGGAGCAGCAAAGAAAGAAGAAGAGGATTGGGGATCATTCCCTACATATAAACTACCCCGGATGCTGATTGGCTATTGGATATTCCATTGCAGTTACTTGACTGTTTTTTTTCCTCTTATATTGTTTCACTAAACTTTATTGAAATATTCTTTGCTGCTGGAGTTTAGTAAAGAAAGTTAATGCATAATATGAGCCTCCTGTCTTGTTATAAAATTATGTTTATGACATACAGTTAAATATATATTATATTATATATTTCATTAATACTAGCACTGGTAGCTTTAGCCTCATGTAAAGCTGATTTTTACTAAATCAGTCATTATAAACTATTTTTAGTCGATAGGTAATCTATTTTAATCAGTATTTTGTCACTATGAAAATGTTTTGCAGATACATAAACTAATTGATCATATTTATATAATACATCATTAGGCTACATTGTTTTCACCATGAAGTAGCACAGACCTGCATTATTCTGCAGACCCAGTGAGTGATGTGTTTAGTTGGGTGTGAAATGTTCAGCCAGTGAATGGGCTGTCTGCTTGCAACATGATGAGCTCCACTAAAGAGCTTACAAGCACAGATTAGACCTAAAAAAATTATCTCCCTACTCCCTCCCATCTGTTAACAAGAGAAGCTCATTTAACATACAGACATTTGTCTAAACCAAGTGGGCCGTTTGTAAAGAAATAAGATTTTTTGGGGGTAAGTGCATTTTTACAACTTACTTATTTTTTATTCTTGTATATAGCTATAATTTTATCATACATAAAAGATAAAAGCTATTTCTTTTTACTTTCCTTTTAGCCAAAGTTGGAAGTATGGTTTATTTTCCTTCGAAGCTCTTATTGGGATTTGTCTACGTTACAGTATGTGGAGGACAGTTACAGACTTCAACAGGTACATAATACATTTCACTTTGACGTTTGTGATTATTAATGTACTGTATTAAACAGGTTTTTATGCACTGGGAAATAAAAAAGGGCAGATATTAGAACTCGCCATGTAATAAATACAAGCTTTTATCAATGTGCTGATTGACGTTCTATTGTAAATATTTAAGTGAGTTATCAATTTTTTTTGCATAGCATCTTGATTCATATGATAAACAATATGATCAGAAACACAATATAATTTTGTTATCAAGCGTTTATTTAGTATAGTAAAGACTTTATAGATCCTTGGGAGATTTGTTGAAAGGGCTTTCTATCCATCCATACAGACTAGAGATAGTATTTATACAAAGCTGAATATGGAATTGTTCTATATATTTATTTAGCATGACTTTATGCCAATATGCAAACTATAACAACATCCATCTATCACAGTCTTTCTGCATAATTTCTGCATTGTTCAACCAGAATTAGTTTGTAAAGATATCTAGTTTTGCATTGTAATATACTATAGTATTTATTAACTACACCAGAGTTTAGCACACTTTGTTAAAGTGATAAGACATTTACCTGTTTTCAGAAAAATAATAATAATTAATAGTAGGTGTTACCAATACTTAATAGTAAATGTGTAGTGTATTTAACTTATTTTATGCCTGTCGTAGATGTGCATTTCATTAGGGTATGCACCCAAGGAAAAAACAAAATCATGATTTTTATCTACATAAAGTAATTTAAAAACAAAAGTTGAATGGTAAATGGCACTTTATGCATTCAATTAATATTCAGAAATCCAAAAAACCCACCTCCAATATAGTCATACACGAATGGACGTGTCTTTCAAAAGGTAAATATAAGGTACTTTGCCTGTTACCTTATGGTGTGGAAAAAAGAACCTTTTAAATAAATTCACCATTTGAGCTCTGTGCCCATTCATCTTCATATACTTAAATAGCCAGCCCAAACTGAAGTTCAGTAAAAGCACAGGTAGGCACGCCTTAATGGAGACAGGGAGTGCAATTTGACATTGATTTAAAACATACTGGTACACCCCTTGGTTTTGCCTAGAATGATTGTGTGTATGTAAAATACAAGACATTATTCTCTAACTCTAGTTTTAGAGACGGTTATAAAGCCTCTATTAACATTACATCTATAATATCGAAGAAGTCCAAATATCCTAAAGTGTGTTTGTTTTCATTCGCTAAAGACCGAACTGTACTGAACTGGAGATTAAATTGCTAGTTTACCCAAAATATTGAAAGTTACTTTTCCGTTCAATACAGTTCTGTGTTCTGCAATTAAACTACTTAATCTTACTATTAAGTATGAACTCTTGTTTTGCTGTGTCATACAGGTTATAGGTGTTGTAGGTGGCATAAATATAGAATATATTGGTCATCTAACAAGTATTCACAAGAATAGGACGCATTGAGGGAGATGGACAGATAGTAAGTGAAACATATTTTGGTTCTATGTATGGATCTTTATGCATACAACAACAACAAAAAAAACCCTCAAAACTTTTTTTATTCTAAATGCAATGTTTTAAAACTTGCAGCATGACATTTTTTTTATAGTACAGATTACGCTATATATGGAAATGGCAGGGCACATTTTGAGGCTGGGCTTGTCTGCCGTTTGTGACAAAATTAGATCACTTTTCTTCTTTGGCATAGATGGCACACTGGTGGCTTTTCAAGAGTTACAGTACCCATTTTATATTTTATACATAAACGCAGGCACTAATTCTATGTCCAAGATGATCTTTTATTACAAATACTTTTTAAAAAAACAAACTTGTTCTCTTATGTATTATAATATGACTTTTTAACTGTAGTAAATTTGGGAGCATTTGCCTTAAACAGCTAATGTTATATATATTTGATATAGTCTTTTAACTTATTTCATATAATTAATGATAATTCCACACTTAATAGTAAACTTACATGTGTGTATATATAATTGGAGGATTGAAAATAGAGGAAACATTTGTGTAACGTTTTTTCAGAAGTCCATACTTGCAATAATTGTTTGTTAGAATTAATGACATTATATTATTTTGAATTATATAATGAATAGCATGACATGCTTCCACAATAATTCAAGTTTTTGGTAGCCATTAACAATTCATTTATAATAAAGCATTAATAAACCATCAGGAAATACCTTTAAATATACAGATCAAATATAAAATGACATAATGACAACAGGGAAAGAAAAACGGTCTCTGGAGGGAATCAATGGTATTAAATCTATATGCTGACCTGAGCTATCATTTTAGGTTTTAATGTTATTTAACAAAATCAGAAGCGGATTCTGCTGATTAATAGATGTTACTATTACCCAACTCCATAGTACCAATTTTATTAATCTCAAAATGATGATGGATGTTGCAATCACTCAACTTAAAAGTCTTTTTTTCTTTCTTTTTTTTTTTTAATTCAGAATTTTTTCTAATGTGTTTTTCACTACACACCAAATGTTCCCATCCATGAATTCCTAGTTAAAGCACCATAAGTAAGCTAAGGTAAAACTCAAATATATGCATTTTATGTTAACTGATTCTATTTTAGAGAACAAACTGATAAAAAGCTTACAATGGCAGTTTATAAATATAATATATACTCTACAGTAACTACCCTTTAACAACGGTAAATACAAGAAGCCTGTACACAGAACTGTGAACTTTTGCTCCTTTGTCATACAGTGTGTTAGTATAATTCAGAAATTCCTGACTGGTGTTCAAACAATAAACTCATTTCATCCTGATTTTACTCAGTGAAACGAAAGGAACATTATTATTTGAACTACCAAAAAGAACCTGCATTCTAGTGGCTGATTGTCGGATACAGGACAATACTATTTTCTGTCTTTCATTATTTGACATCTCCAGATAACAATTAATTTATTTCATTACATTTCTGTGTCTGGTGAATACTGTCATAATTTAAAAAAAAACAAAAAACGAGGCAGTTATAAAATATAGAAATATTATACTGTGTTCTTAGAAATATTATACTGTGACTTTAGACAGCCTAAAATAGTACTTATACTATGAAATGGCTGGCCTATTAATGTAGTAATATGGAAGATCATATCATATAGACAAGTAGACTCCAAACTGGTGCAGGTTACAGATGGTAGGGAACAGCTCTCGTGACTTGTTGCAATCTACCGACTTAGCCCTATGAGATGGCTAAGTTAAAGGACCACTATAGGTACCCAGACCACTTCAGCTCAATGAAATGGTCTGGGTACCAGGTCCCCCTAGTTTTAACCCAGCATTTGTAAACATATCAGTTTCAGGGAAACTGCTATGCTTACACTGCAGGGTTAATCCAGTCTCTAGTGGCTGTCTCCCTGACAGCCACTAGAGGCCACTTCCGCGATTCTCAGTGAGAAAATCGCATTAAACTTATGCAGTGTGAGTTCAGATCCCCATAGGAAAGCATTGAGTAATGCACATTCGGCTTCACTCGGGAACTGATGTCAGCAGGGGGAGGAGAGGTCACCAGCACCGAGGGAGCCTGGTGCTGGATTAGGGTAAGTGGCTAAAGGGGTTTTAACCCCTTCAGCCCAGTGGGAGGGGGGCTCCGAGGGAGGGGGGGACCTAATAACCCTACAGTGCCAGAAAAAAAAGTTTGTTTTCCTGTATGGTCAAATGCATTATCCATCATCAATAAAAGGGAGAATGGAAGCTGCACATATAATTATGACCTACACTTGTCTTCTCTAACACAAACTTATAGGTAGTTATTTCAATTGATAAACGTGGAGGGGGGAGGAAGGTTTCCTCCTGTCTCCGAAATTAGCTGTAGAGATTCGGGGTTTAACATTCTTAAAGAGAACCACATTTTCCAAGCCCCCTTCAAGCAATAACTATGTTTGCAGATGACATGGAAATAGCGTTAAAACATGAATGTACATTATTGCTGTATATGCTACGGCTACTCCACATTGCATACCTTGCAATGAGGTATAGAGAGAAAGTCCAAGATTTTGCAAAGAGTCCTTTGGATTATTGCGTGGTTGCATCAAGGGTAAAAGGGACAAGTAGATATACGGAATATGGAATATTCTGCAAGACTATTACTGAACAATTCTCAGTAGATCTTCTTGCACACACAGTATGCAATGAGATGCCATAGTCCTCTTTTGCACATTTCAGAGAAGACGCCATTTCCCAAAAGCCTTCACAAGTGGCAGATTTTGGTAGAAAGCAAGATATGGAAGATTGAAGCTTACTAAATTGCTGCTCTTTGCCACATTTTTCACAAACTTAGCTGGTCTATAATTGTAGATTATGCTAACCTATAATCTTAATTTTAGT